AGGCACCCCGGAAATAGCAGTTCACAAAAGAGTGACAAACATACAGAAAAAGTAGACCAAAAATGATAAATAGTAAGGTTGATGAAAGAAAAAGGAGCAGTTCTCCTTATGTTGTTCCGGCACAGTATGAGCACGACATTGATACATTAGTCCGTTTACATTTCTACAGCGCATAAGAACATTATATTAAAATCCCCCCTTGGGGAATGGCCTAAAGGCACGTCAGTCAGTAGCAGTGCCCTAGAAAGGGGGGGGGGGGGGGGGGAGGGGGCAGTTGTTCAATTTTTCTAGTTTTGTTCATTTGTTCGTTTATTCATGTTTTGATTGTATGTTAATTCTTTAACTCACCCCCATAAAAAAAATATATATTGTCCTATTTTCGATTTTTTTCTTTTACATTTCTTCATTTCTCCGATTTTTAAAAATTTGTTATTTGGGCGAATTTGTTCATATTTTGAACGTTTCTTCAATGTAAGTTTAATAGTTCGCTTTTGCGTCGCTTTTTGTTCATGTCTTCGTTTTTTCGATTTTTGTTCAAAAGAATTTTGTTTAGTTCGTTTATTCGATTTTAATTCTTTTGTTCAATTTATAATTTGTTCGACTTTAGTTAATCTGTTCCTTTGTATGACTTGTTTTCTTGTTGTTGTTGTTGTTGTTATTGTTGCTGTTGTTGTTGTTGTTGCTGTTGTTGTTGTTGTTAGGGCATTTGAACAGTGACGAGCAGCAGTGGCAAGAGGGTGGTCTATGTCCGTGATAATTTGTATCCATGATGTACTAATTTATCGCTGTATTTGTCTATTTATGTATATTAGAGTGAAACACATCCCTGAAAAGGACATGTACTGGGAATGCTATGTTTCTTATTTTCTAGCACAAGAAACTATATTTTTGTTTTTATCTAAAATGTCTTGGAATAAATCAAAGTTATAGAAAAAAAACAACATCAAGTCACTTTTGGTAGGATATTCTAATTTTAATTATTATTTTTTTTTTTGGGGGGGGGGGGGGGGGCTGTTGATGCTTAAAAAAACTTTTTAGACCCTGAGCTCAGAATCCAAATGGTCTATCAGCTCTGTCAGAATCGTAAGATTATTCGAATTCGTTGTTGAGATATTCAAAGAATTGAATTCGAAGAGGCTTGACATTCATGTTGTGAAAGTCAAACTAATCGTTGACGGTCAAATTTCTCAAAACTAGATACTGAGCAGATAGAACTGTGTAATTCTAAGAGAGCAACGTGTGTATCTGATATTGTGTACCGTGTTATGTATGCTAGTGCTGGGCGGCTAGGTTTCCGATTATTAAAAGCTAGGGATAGTAGGAACCGACTCCGAACACAATAACTTACTTTCTAACGATGTGATTTTTTCCGGTGCCTATCTTTTTGGCTCCGAACATCTTCAGGATTTAGGAAAACCTTGATTTTTGGAACACTACGAATCATCAACCTTTATTATTCATAAACAATTTTTTTAAAAAATGAAGATTTTAATGATAAAAGTATTTGGCAACCGTTGGTTTACGTAAAAGGGAGACAGAACTTTACTTCCGAAGTATTAATCGTGGGAATCGGTTCCGGAATCGACTCTTCGCCCAGCTCTAATGTATGCTAGAGGTGGGCATAAAGCGGATGAGTATCCGGACAATCAGATAATTCTCAATAAAACATTATCCGAATTCAGATTCTTAACTCTCTTTCCTGATCCGTTTCCCAAAGTGGGTGCACCCATTAATTGTTGAAGTGATGCTAACCCGTTTGTCGAAGTGGTTCTAACCCATTTGCCGAAGAGGTTCATATCATTTTATTTACCGAAGAGGTGCACTAACATAATATTAACCGGGTTTTGCTAAAGAGACTCATTGCCCAGGCCTAGTGTATGCTCGCTCGGATGTGCCAAAACATGAACTTTGGCCTCTTCTTATCCGACATTTGTTGTAATGAGTCCGATACGTCTGTACAGAGTTCAGTGGGACAGACAACGTTTCTGAAACATCGACAATCTTTGTGTTAAATCGATTAGGATATTAGAACAAATTTTGATACTTCCTTGAATGCCACGGCTATCTCAAGGACATGAACTTGGCTCGTTCATAACTTGATTTGGTTGAAAATATTGGTGTGTGCTGACAAAATGAGTTAATTTCTCGGATTCAAGCTTTAATTAAGGAAACATACATCGCACTTATAGCTGAAGGTTTTACAAATTATAAGTAGAAACTAATGAAAGGCTTATTATACTTAAAGGATATGGCATCAATAGAAAAACCTACAAAATTGACCCTAGTGTCAATTTTTGGCCAATATCTCCTCTTGAGGAATGCGAGAAGTAACTCGTTTTGTCAGCACGCCTCACAAATACTTCCATGAATGCCACGGGCTGTCTCGAGGACATAGACTTAGCTTTTTAATAGCTTGATTTGGTAACAAACGTTGTTTAATGGTATAGGTGTAACGCCCCTATAAACACTATTCGGTTATTTAAGAGGCAGGGCCTCCATGTTTAACGTCGTCCATCTCCGAAAGGACCGAGCCAAATGGGAAATTCGTGTAACGTGACTTTCCCAAGGACACAAGGTCGGACCGAGCTGAGGCTCGAACCCGCAATCTCACTGTTACTAGTCCGGATGCCTAACCCCAAGGATACCGAGGACAATTTGCTTGATTTGCATAATTTATGAAGATACAGTTTTTGAATAACTGATTGGGTTTCTCTTAATAGTATGTTGATTAATTATACAGGTACTGTTATAAGTTAAAGTCTACAGTGTCCTTTATTAATTTTCAGAAACGGCGTATCCTGATTTTTTTTTTTCGCTGAGCGCCTCTTTCAAGCATGAGCTCATGGGGTCCAGTGGCTAAGTGATTCGTGAGTTCAGACTCAAAAGTAATGTCAAGCAAGTGTCGGTGACATGGGCTAAAGATGGGTGGTCACTGGGGTGTGTCCTTCAGTAAGCCACAACAACCTTAGCTAAAAAATCAGGGCACTGCACAGTGGTGACCAGCAGTGGCATGTTTGGGAAATCGTCTTTTTATTGGTGTAACATGGTGTATTTATATATATGTATTTGTGTATGTATTTGTGTATGCATTTGCTGTATATATTACATGTATAATTGTATCTGTATATGTTTGCTATTGTGACCCAAATTGCCCAACGGGGATCAATAACAATGTAATTAATTAATTAATATTTTTATAATTATATCATAACAGACAAAGTGGAGCCCGCCTTTTCTCTGAACGCCACCCTGACCGGACACCTGAGCCTAGACGGCAAAGACTCGTACCTGGCTCTCCGATGGGACTACCCGCAGTTTGAGCTCACTGGAAGCTTCAAGTGTGAGCTGATGGGGCTCACAAGCAACATGCACGTGACCAAAGTCCAGGTGGTCAGTCAGGTCACAGATGCCAGGTCAGAGGGTTGTGGGTTTGGTCGGGGTTTTTAGACTTCCGGGGCGGTGCCACTAACTGTAGTGTCTTCAGGCCATTCCCAAAGGGGGGACATTTCTCGTTCAAGTGCAGTAAAATTGTAAATGGGCTGATTCATCATGTCACGCTCATAACTGTGCCTGATCTACAACAGGGAACTGCTGCTTTTTCTTTCCTAATCCTTACTATTGTCATTTTTCCTGTACTTTTTTGTATATTTGTCACTCTCTTGTGACCTACTATTTCCGGGGTGCCTTGACAGTCGAAGCAGACCTTGTGCTGTTGAAGCTAGAGAGGTGAGCAGAATAAGTCTGATTCCCTGTAAAGACTTCTCTGTTAACACCCACCCCTTGGCTCTCTTATGAACTTTTGCTGTTGCGAGCGCCGTAAAACCCTCTACTATAAAAAAAGAGGTTTTACGGCGCTCGCAACTGCATAAGGGCATATTATGAGCGCCAGAAGATTAGAGGTGTTACAAGAGAGTAACAAACATAAGAAAGAGAAGCTGGGGAGATAAGGACGACAGATGTTTGGTAGGAGAGAAGAAGCAAACCACACCACAGAGGTTTGGGATATAAATACGTCATACGGTAGTTTTTACTTTTTATTGAGAGTTTTACGGTATTTATAACATAAATACGTAATACAGGTAGTTTTAATAAGAGTCAAGGTCTGGAAGTTGTAGCTTTAGTCAAAGCTTTACGGTATTTACATCATACGTGTGCCACACGTGTAGTTTTAGTGAGATGATTGTAGGTTTAGTCAAAATTTTACGGTATTTGCAACTACTTAAATACGTCTTAAAGACAGTTAGTGAAATTCCAGGTATGAGGGTTGTAGGTTTAGTCCAACACTTCACCAATGTTCATCTTTTTAATTGTCTCATTTTTCAACACTTTACCAATTTCCATCTCTGTAATTGTCTCCTTTTCCAACACTCCACAAATCTGCTTGTCTTTCAGTGTTTCACTTCCCAACACTTGACCAATCTTCACGTCTTTCAATGTTTCACTTCCCAACACTACCCAAATTTTCTATCTCTTTCAATGTTTCACTTCCCATCACCCCACCAAACTTCACGTCTTTCAATGTTTCACTTTCCAACACTCCACTAATCTCCATCTCTTTTAATGTTTCACTTCCCAAAACTCCACCAACCTTCACGTCTTTCAATGTCGTATCCAGACCCGATCTCCAGGCCGCCCTACTCGCCATCGAAAGACATGACGTCAGAATCGGGATCCTGGAAACTGCGCTGGTCACTCTGTCAGCTCGTCTAGACCGCTTCAAAGACTCCATGTTCTACACAACGCTGACCAATAACGGTCGACAGTACCTGGTCTCCAGACCTTTCCTCCAGAACTCCGCGATGGCCGAGTCAGCCTGCAAGATTTACGGCGGATACCTGGTGGAGTTTGATCTTCAGGAATTCATCATCGTCAAACAAGTTCTGGCTAACGCTTCCGTCAGTGATCCCGTGCTGGTTGGAATAACGGACGAGATCGCGGAGGGCGTGTGGAGGTTCAGAGAGCACCCTCTCCTCTCGCCATCCTACACGTTGTGGGAGAGGAACCCCCAGCAGCCGGACGGAGGGAGAGCGGAGAACTGCGCGCGGCTGGAGCGAGGCGCTCTGGGAGAATGGTGGCTCACTGATGTCCCTTGTTACGACAACGCGGCGGGCGTGCGTTTCATGTGTGAGGTGCCAGTAGAGGTGTGAGTGTGGGGGTGGGGTGTGTTTGGGAAGGTTCTTCTAGGAGGTTTTTTTGGGGGGTCAAAGTGGTGTCTTTGGAAAAGTTCTAGATGTTCTTTGTTTGGAATAAGTGTCTTTTGAAAGGTTCTAGATGGGGGTTTAGGGGGGGGGGGGGTCATATTAGTGTCTTTGTGAAAGTTTTGTATGTTTTTGCGTCAAATTGGAGTCTAAGCGAAGGTTCCTAATGCTTTTTCGTCAAATCGGTGTCTTTGCGAAGATTTTATATATTTTAAGGTTCTAGGTGGGTTTTTTGGTGTCAAATTGGTGTCATTGTGAAAGTTCTAGATTGTTTTTTTTTGGTTTAAATTTGAGGATTTGTGAAAGTTTGAGATGTTTTGTGTCAAATTCGTGTCTTTGGAAAAGTTTTAGATGTTCTTTTGGTAAAATTAGTGTCTTTGTAAAGATTTCAGAGGTTGTTGAATTTTGTCAAATGAGTGTCTTTGTGAAAGTTATATATTATTTTCGGTCAGATTGGTGTGTTTGCAAAGGATCCAGATTATGTTTTTGAGTCAAGGCGTCCAGAATGGTTCTGTAGACTTGGTGTCGGTTCCGATGAAATCATCTCTCAAAGACCACCGACATCAAAGAAATAATTCCGCTCCAGCAAGTGAGCAAGTCGATTTAGTGTCCATATATGTTGTGTGATTATGTCCTCATCGCAGTCTAACTTATGTCCTAGTTCATGACAATGGTTGAAAAAGTCTTACTTATGTCCTAGTTCGTTTATAGAAATGTTTAACTTATGTCCATCTATAGAAAAGTCTTACTTATGTCCATCTATAGAAAAGTCTTACTTATGTCCATCTATAGAAAAGTCTTACTTATGTCCATCTATAGAAATGTCTTACTTATGTCCTAGATCATGACAATGTATGGAAAAGTCTTACTGATGTTCTAGTTCATCTATAGAAAAGTCTTACTTATGTCCATCTATAGAAATGTCTTACTTATGTCCTAGATCATGACAATGTATGGAAAAGTCTTACTGTTGTTCTAGTTCATCTATAGAACAGTTTTACTTATGCCCTTATCCATGCACTGTATTGAAAGTGTCTGACTTCCCGCATACGCCATGATTCATATATTATTTTTAAAATATTACCCTCCTCCTTCGCCCCACACCAAGCAGTCTTATGTAAAAGTCTGACCACCCCGCCCGTCTGCGTCATAAAAGTTTTGAGTCCACCGGAAAGACGGGAATAGTCACAAGCTTAAAATCGTGAGAGTAGCAATTTTGAACGCTTGTTGACTCATAACCGTATTTCTGTTCAACTGTTGGTTGATTGTTTTTTGTTTTTTATTTCCCGTTTTACAAAAGCATAACAATAAACCACTAGTCAAACAAATATGAAGTTATGAGTGCTCGAGATTTTAAATTTGACACACTCACAATTTCCAGTTTGTGACTATGCCCGTTTTTTCCTGTGGACTCCTCAAATGCACTCAAAAAACGTACTCCCCTTCGATGACATCATTAATGAATCAAACAATCTTACACCATGTCTGCGTGTGCGTCCTGATTCATTCATAATGTATGCAAAAATCTATGTGAGGCATTGTTGTGAAATCAGACACTCGTCAAAATAATGAAATTGAACATATCGACATTTTCCCTCGAGTTTAACGGGTTTTTTTTCTTCCAATTTTTGTTTTTTGGCTCAACACGTTTTGTGCATTTTTTCAAAGCACATTTCTGTGTGGATTTTCATTGAAAAACATTGATTAAAAGCACAACAAATGTACATTTACAGCTTCCAAGGACTCCCAAGCTCCGGAAATCACCAAGCTTTGACAACCATTTTCTCGCTAATTTAACTCTGAAACTAGGCGACCTCGATCTCCTTCATTTGAAAACGCCTCGACTTTTATTCAAGATACTAGATCTAGTAGGTGTGTACTTTTTCCATCGATAGGTGGTCAAATGAACAATCTTTAAAATGGTAACAATAACTCCAGGTAACCAAAAAAAAACCTGACGGCAACTGGTTCTTCCGTGTCATGATACATAATATTATTCAAATTGCTAGAAAATAAACAGATCTGTTTTTGAATTGACATCTGCAACTGTTTCTTCTCGTATTTTTTCCCCTGAGGTTTTTCGGGTTAACTCGACGTCTTGGCAAGACATATCACTGTCACAGAATTACAAAGCTATATCTGCTCAGTAGGCTACCTAGTTTTGAGAAGTTTGACGTCAATTTTTTTTAGCTTCGCATCATTTCAAGCTTTTCCAAATGCAATTCTTTGAATATCTTGAAATCGATTCCCAATATTCCTACGATTTTATAGAGCAGACAGAGCTTGTAAGTAGGTTTCTGACCTCATGGTCTCAGTAACTCAAAACAGTCAAAAATGTCAGATGGAACTTTGAAATTCTGATCGAGGTAGCGATACTTTAGAAATGATCCCCAAAAGTGTGATCTTTGGAGGTCATAAAATTCGATAATAAAAAACAAAACTCTATCAGTGTATGAGTGTGTCTGTTTTGTCACTGTTGGAAGTAACACTCTTTTTTTTAGGTAGAGGGTTTTACGGCGCTCACAACTGCATAAGGTCATATGAGCGCCAATAGGTTACACTCTACCAGCATCTGAGGTGTTGTGGTTAGGTGCGGGGGCTCTCGTGGCCTAGAGGTTAAGGCGTTCGCCTTTCATTCAAAGGTCCCAGTTTGAATCCTGGTAGCGACGGAACATTTTCTTCTCAAATTTTCTCCTTTCACATCCTTTCCTGCTCTCTAAAGTGGTTCTGTGTCTGCTTTCGTTTCCACTTTCTGCCCCCACCCCCTCACCTCCTTTGCCCCATCTTCTAAGCTCCTGACTCTCACTTTCCACTGCTTCTCCTTGGCTCCCTCTAACGGCAGCTCTTTCAGTCACACCCTTCATATTATGGTAGGTAAGATTTACACATAGCCTTCTCGGACAAGGGCGAAAAATCTGGGAGGCCCCGTGTGCAAGTTGCGCACTTTAAAGATCCCTTGGTAGTCCAAAAATCGAAAAGAGTAGGCTTCGGTCGCCATCCGGGCAAAATTCAAAATGTTCTACCAACTGAAAATGTTTGGTGTGTCCAGCGCGCTCATAATATGACCTTATGCAGTTGAGAGCGCCGTAAAACACTGCCCAAACAAAAAAAAAGATTATGTCGTGCTTCTGTGTCGCGAACTTCACAGTGACATTAAAGATGGCTCCAGTAGGGAACAGGATTGCGGGTGCCCACTTATCCCTCGTGACTCATTGGAGCAGAAGAAGGTGGGACTAACGCTAACATTAATTTTAAAAAACAACCACCTCAACTAAGAGAAGCATGTCTTCTTAGTAATTATTACTGAAACACCATCGCACATCATCACTCATCACCACCATTATTTCTAATATCATCATTCCTCTCAGATTGACGAGTTACATCTATGTTCCTTGAACCTCTCTCTGTAACAGTTACTTGTCATACTAAGTATGCACGTAATTCACTATTGGACATTATCGTGCGCACTTTTTTCTACTACTCAGATGGCGTCAATCTCATATAATTTAACCGGCAAGGGGAAAAAAGACATTATTCCTCCCTGACACGTAGTTATCTCTAGCAGGGATATAATATAAAAACCCAAATTTTGTATCAAATGCGATACTGACTTTACTATCAGGAACATCCTGATAGAACACCCGTACTTTGGAGAGTCCCGAAGGAAATAATTATTATCGTTAAAATGCATTAACTTAAAGAAAAATGTTCTCCATCGTTGATCAAAGCAGGTTTCTCAATTGGCTGCTTTTAAGCACAAGGGGGCTATCCCGAAAAATGCATTTTTGAGAAAATGGAAGATTTTTTTTTTTACCCTTGTTTAGCTTCTTTAAAAGACAAGGAGTTTTCTCTATAACCAAACAAATAATACACACCAATGAAACCAAACTCCCCCTCTAGGTAGGGCAATGCCCACTTTTGGTGCAGGTCAAGATTTCTGGAAACTCCCGAAATCTGGGTTAGCCCGCTTGTCCCTAAAATCGACCATTATAAATATCATTGGTCTTTGTTCAAATGTATATGGTGTTATTTTGATTTTTAAATGAAGTTGCTGTTTTAAAATGAAGTTTCATCTTATGCATGAATTTTGAATACCCCAACCATTCTCACTAGTAAAGCAAAACTAAACCGTGCTTTGAACGATCGTGAAAACTAACAACTTGTGCTCCGTGAGATCATATTAAGAGCGGATACAGTTTCGAGCACCGTGAAACTTCTAAAAATTAAACTTAGACCCACAGTCACAAGCATAATAATCTATTATCTATTTGTGGTGGCCGAATTTTGCTGTTCAAAAGGCTTTTTAATGGCTGCATCGATCGACATGCGGTTTTCGCCAAAAAAATTCTTTAAAATTAATATTCTCCATATCATGACGCCCTTCGTTTATTTCCAGTTTTGAGACAGTTTTGCTGTAAAAAGCTAAATTTCTTTATTTCGTCGATCGCTTTTGTTGGCCGACGCTTCTGTCTCTGTAATTTTAGAAAATCCGCCAGGTTTGTTTATTCCAAGTCGTACTTCCGTTCGATATTATCGCGCATTGTCGCTCAATACTGAGCACTATTTTAAGTGTGCAACCCGTATAGATCTAGCCTCATGTTTTCTTATTTTTACTTGGTGCTAAATTCGACTGTGATCCTTTCATTTGATGCCTATCATCGCTTTTTCTGGACTCCTTTGTTAAAGTTTTTTTCTTGCAAATGGGAACAATAAACACGCTTCTGTACAACCACGAAAGCGGAACAGAGAATCAATCTATGCATCTATTATATATTTTTGGCATCTTGGAAACACGTCAAGTGTCACTTTTCTCTCAAGATTTATTGCTCCATTCCACAGTTGAAGTTAATGCTCTGATCATTCCTTTCATCGAACAGGGTACCCAGCTACTATGCTAGAAATGAACAATTATTCGCCACCTCAGAGATATAAAGATCTGTCTGCTCAATATCTAGTTCTGATTACATTTTGACGCAAAAAAGAAATTTCAGTTGCACAACATGTCAAGCTTTGCTGAATGCAATTCTTCGAATATCTTGGCAATAATGACTCGGAATAATCTTTTGATTTTGATAGAGCGCATAGAATATAATTTATTGATTTCTGACCTCATGGTCTTTGGTTGTCAAAAACGTCCAAAAATGTCAGACGGAAATTTGTAATTCTGAGGTAGCGTTTCGTAAACACATCTTACGTTTATTCGTCAATGAAAAAAACCCCCAGCGTTGCAGACTCAGTCAGTTATTGTTGACGTATTAAGTCTAATGTTGGTTAGTTTTAGTAGAGGTTTTACGGCGCTCGCAACTGCATAAGGTCATATGAGCGCCAGAAGATTAGAGGTGTTACAAGAGAGTAGAGAGTAACAAACATAATATAAAAGAAGAAGGGAAGATAAGGACGATAGATGTTTGATAGGAAAAAAGGAGCAGACCACACCAGAGCACCCGCCAACCACCCACTAAGTCTAATGAATCTGGACACGTAAGCATTATAAATAATATTACATTTGTGATAGTGACCGCGCGGTACTTTGATAGCCCAGGTTTCCTATCTTGTACAAGACTGACCGCTGGTCACCACGAAAGTCGCTACATCATAGTTACAAAGTTCTGCCTGACATTTGTGGCGGTTTTTGAGGTACGAGGGCTGTCCCACGGAAAACCAGAAAAAGTCCATAAAAGAAACAATCTTTGTCCTACTATAATTTTTAAAAATTAAAGTAACACATCATACCTCAACATGTGCTTTATTTCTCAATGTAATCACCATCCCGCAGGACACATTTACCCATAGCTAAATCAAAAAGAAGATACAGAATGACAGACCTCACTTCTACCCTAGACCAATTTTCCAAGGGGGTGGACATCTTTGGAGAACTGCTGTTTTCGTCTGTATTTTGTGATGCTCATGGAGCTCCATTGGGAAATTCCTAAAAGATTGTTTTACAAGTGTGCGTTTACAGAATGTGAAAATATTGAATAGTTACAGGGGCCAAATTCCGGTTTTCCGTGGGACAGCCCTCGTACTACGACCATGAGATCAAAAACCAATTGTGAGGCAGCGTGATGGAATCAGGCTCTCGTCAATTTTTGGGCATGTAGAGTTATTGGTATCATCTTAAAGCTTGTTCACTTGTCTTTATTTGGAG